GTTAATGGGCTCTGAAAGGCACATGGAGAACAGAAAACAACCGGCACCGAAGAAACTGCTCTGTCTGGAAAGGGTATGGAGCCTTGTGGCCACCGACCTGGGCAGGTTCCAGCCTCGCAGCTCCTAATAAACCACGAGGACTGGGACAAAATTTTTCTGTCAAAATGTGTCAAGTACCAAATCGGACGAATCTTAAAGCTGTCGAGTGCCAAGGTACGACAGGGCCTTGGGACAGCCTGGAGACAGTGTCTCTGAAGGAGCCGCGGAGTTTCTGGACAGGGAAGGCGCTGGGAGGCAGGGCAGTACCCTGGCCGTGCCCCGTCATGACTCTGGGGTTCCATCCCTTCTTGTTGCCTTCCCTCTGCCCTGCATGTGGCACCTTGGAAAGTTTGCCACTTCTTCCTGTACAGGTCCGGGCTCCTTTTTTACTTCTAGGGGCTCTGACGGCTCTGAGGCTGAGAGACGACCCTGGAGAAAATCTCTGAGGGCAGCCAGGGCCCCCATACCCTACTGTGTGTCCGGAACTGATTGTTGGAAACTGGGATCCTCGCAGCCGTAGCCTTAGCCAGAGCCTCCGGGACCCAGGTGGAAGCTGTCATCCGCCCAGATACCCTCCGCTTTGGGCTGTCTCTGACCCAGGTTCGGGTTCCCACCCCATTAGGGCTGACACACCAGTTGTGGATTTGGGGGTTTTGTTGTGCCCCTTAGGGCCTGGAGTCTCCTGCCCAAGCTTACCCCACACTCTCTTCCCCGGGCAGCAGAACCACATGGCTGCTGTGGGGCAGGCCCTGCTGTCCTTGCACTGAAACCCAGAGCTTGGCGATAGGTGAAAGGCAAGCGGTTTCCAAGGCATCACAGCCAAGGCCCTCGTGGACCAGTTGGACCCACAGGACCCCAGCGGTAGATTTTCTGAGACTGCGACGGGAGGGGAGGCCTGACTCAGACCCTGGTCTAACACTCAACTGAACACCTGGAAAGGACAGAAAATGGGCAGTTTCATTTTGCTCTCTGACAGTGACCGCTCTTGCTCTCAGGTTGGACTGGTTTGTCCTGCAGGCAGGTTGAGTCACGAACCACACTTCCCTGGTTAAGAGGGCGGTAGTTTCGATTAGACTCTGAGGGCCTGGAAGGACTCAAAGCTCCCCTAGGTCCATGGTTCCCCAACTTTGGGGTCTACCCGAATCACCCAGAAGGTTTGTCAGGAAGCAGGCTGCTGGGCCTACTCCCTGCATACCTCACTTCATAGACCTGGGGCAGGGCCGGCTCCTGGGTGGGGAGGAGGAGGTGTTACTGCTGCCCCAGATGAGTGATCTGTGGCTCTGGCTGTGCCCTGAAACAACGAGAGAGCTCTAAAAAGCAAATCAGGGACAAGATCCCAATGATGAATGTAACTGTACCGTACACTTAAAATTACCACAGCAAATCAGGGCTGGATTCCTCCCCAGCCTATTAAATTGAAGTCTTCAGGTTGGCGCCAAACGTCGCTCCTTTTCCACACTCTTCCTTCCAGGTCGGGCGGCTCTCACATGTAGTCACGGGGAAGGACACGATCTGGGGTCCTCCAGGTGCCAGGTGGGGGCAGGTGCTGCCTTAGCACGGGAATCCTCTGCTGGGCTTTTACGACGTTGCCTCAGGCTCTGGTGAGGGTGCCTGGGGCCTTCACCCCATTTGGTCCCAGACTTTCAGCAGGCTTCCCAGTACCATCCCGGGAGGCCCCCGCCTTCCAGGGACGCAGGCCAGGGACAGAAGGCTCTTCCTGGACCTGGCCCGGGTCTGACTCCCACAGCTTCCACGGTGCCTGCCTCCCTGCTCTGGACCAAGCAGCTTGCTTCCTTCTGTGGGTGGCAGTCCCAGCTGCCTGCTTGTTTACTGCCCTTTTCAGATGTGGCCCTGCTGCCGAATCCAGAACTTCACATGTATTTAGAGCTTGGAAGAAATGGACTTTGGTTCCTGTGGGGTGGTGCACACCTGTAATCCCACCTGGGAGGATGGCAGGCCAGCCTGGGCTACACAGTGAGTGTAAGGCCAGCTTGGACTGCAAAGCGAGACCTTGTTTCAATACATAAATAAATTTGGAAGCAGAGATTCAGAACCCAAAAGGGTTTCCTGGGCATGAAGCAGGGGACGCGTTCCCTGAGACATTCTACCTCATGTCCTCCCTGGCCCTGCCCGTCTTCTCCCTCCCCAGATAGGATCTTCTGCTGTTTGTCAACCACCTGGCAGGAGTTTGGTGCAAAATCAGGCCACCGGTTTCAAGTAGAGACATGTTTTTTTAAACAACACAACTTTAAAATTTGTTATTTTATTTAGTTTGGGTTTTGGTTTATTTAATTTTGGTTTAAAATTTCAAAAATAAGGTTCTCATTAGTGAAAAATCTGAGTGTATTTTTCTTTTTCCTTCTATTCTTTTTTTTTTTCTCTCTTTCTTTCCAGTACTGAGGATCAAACTCAGGACCTTGCACTTGCCAGGCAGGTACAGTGGCGCTGAGCTACATCCTGGGCCCTCTCCTGTTCTCATGTTGTTTGTTCATTTGTGTTTGAGACAGGGTCTCACTGTGCAGCCCAGGCTGGCCTCCAGCTTGAACAACCCCCGTCTCAGCCTCCTGAATGCTGGGCTTATAGATGTGTAACATCACGCCCGGCTTTTCCTCCTGTTCTGGGTTGTTTTGCCATTGCTGTGTAACCAACCCTCAAAAAGGGCCTGCACACAGCTGTTGCCCAGTAAAAATTTGCTGCTTATTTAAATAACTAATAAAGTTGTTTAGTAGGTAAATATTTATCAGTGAATATGTGGGGAGGATGTGATTGCTTATAAACTCACCTGCCTGAGAATGGAAGAAGGCTCAGGGGGACAGGGCCGGCACGAGAGCTGCCCCTCCCGCTCTGCGCCCACTGCCAGGTGTGGACTCTGTCGGGACAGAGGCCTGCAGAGGAAGCGGAAAAGGGGGGCGAGAACTTCGTGCAGGGTGGCACAGGCCTCCCAGCCACGTGGGGCTGCTTGGTCTGGATGGAGCCCAGGCTGCAGGCCCCACCTCGGAGCGGCGTGTCGGCTGTCACCTCCCTCATTCCCCCATCTTGCTGTTGCTCTGTCCTTGGGCTTCCTTCAGCCTCCCATGCCATCTTACACGTCCATGCATGTGTGTGTGTGTTGTGTGTCTCTTCCACGTAAACATCGGCTCCATGAGTGCAAGGACAATGTCCTTCTGCTGAGTCCCCAGGTCCTGCCTGGCCCTGCATATTTGGCTCCAGGAGTAGCTAACAGGGGAGTGTTGATGGCTTTGTTTAATGGCCTCAGGGTTCCACGTGCCTTGTGTAGCTACAGCTTTGAATACAGGAAGGGCTACAGGAGGAGAACCCCAGAGCAAGTGGCCCAGGCCTCTGAATGTGTACCGGGGGCCCAGGTCCTTCTGACCCCAGTTCCACACTGCAGGCTGTTCAGAGCCATCTGCTCTGGCCAGGGCTTAAGGGAGTCTCACCGCCTCCACCAGGGCTCTTTCCACCCTGCTGCCTTGGGCTCCTCACCAGGCCCCGGGGAGAGATTTCTGACCTTACCATTTTTCTGTATGGAAAGAACATTTCTACTTAGCACTCCCTTTCTGGGGAAGAGAGGTGTTCCTGATGAATAGCCACTTGTGCCGGGGAAGGCCGGGGCAGGAAGACAGGTTGGCCTAGGTAGCAGAGGGAGCAGGGTCTAACTCAGATGCCTGGGCACAGCACAGCTTGATGAGGGAGGGCTGAATGGTGGCTGGACTTCCTTGTTCGTCAAGACGGAGTGGTTTCGCTGGGTTGGGGTATTTATTTATTGTTTTTGTTTTGGAGACAGGGTCTAACCATGTAGTTTGGGCTGGCCTTGAACTCACTATGTAGCCCAGTCTGGCCTTGAACTTATGGGGATCCTCCTGCCTCAGCCTCCCGAGTGCTGGGATTGTAGGCGTGTGCCCCAGAGCCCAGCCCTTGCTCCCCTGTGACTGCTATCGCACCTATCCAACCTGGGGCACAGATGAGGTTCCACACAGCCCCTGCTCCGTGCTCCCGCCTCCCTTTCCTCCGCAGGGGGTCCATCAGGTACTGGAGAGTTAACAGCTCATGGCTCCTGTGTTTGAAATGAAGTCCTGAGGCCCCAGGATCCTGTGTCCCAGGACATTAGCACAGCTCAGGGTCTAGACCAGGCAGAGAGGACAGAGACAAAGAAGCAGCCACAGCATTTATATACTTGTGTCCTTAATAAGCGTGTCTTGTGCTGTTGAGACTTCACACACATCATGCGCTTTTTGAGCAGCAACCACATGGCAGCTCCTGTGAAGTTAGCACCGTTACCATTTCCATCTGGCAGATGAAGAGGCTAACGTTCAAGCCATGTTAAACAACTGGTCCAAAATCTTTTTTGGACAGAGCTAGAAATCTGATTTCTTAAGATCTCTCATTCTGGATCACATTCATACCTCCTACAGTTTTCTGTCTTTCAAAAACATTCCCTGGAGCCACATGCCTTGGTGATTCCTATAATCCCAGCACTTTGGTTTTGTTTTTTGGTTCAGGGGGTTGAACTCAGGACCCTGAGTTTGTGAGGCAGGTGGCAGCACCACTGAGCTAAAATCCTGGTCCAATTCCAGCACTTTGGGAGGTTGAGGCAGAAGGAGCTCAAGTTCAAGCCCAGCCTGAGCAATTTAGCAAGACCCTGTCTCAAAACAGGGCTGCTGCTGGGCCTTAGAAACTGAGTCTCCATCTTGCCCAGCATGACCTTCTGAAAATAGTATTGCATTCAGTGGTGCAGAGGTGGAAGACAGAGCAGGAACGTGAAGGGACTGTGTTCAGAGTGAGTGAATGAAAAATTTGGGGTTTACAATAATTGCCTTCTGACAAACTTTTTTCGAGGTACTGTCATTTTTATTTTGCAGGTGAAGGAAGCTTAACAAACATAGCATCTGGTTCTGACTGACTTTTGTGCAGAGGGCAGCATGGGGACCTCCACAGAGCAAAGGTGGGACTTAGTTGTTCATGGCGCCTTCTATATATGCGACTGTCACGGCATTTTGCACAGTGCCACGGGGCAGTTGCTTCTGGGGGGCTGAGGTCTGGGTTTTGCGGGCTAGGAGGTCTGGAAGACACTTGTTTCTGTTTTCATATCTGAGTGTTTAGGTAAAAGGAATTACCTTTATTGTGGCATTAGGCCAGGGTCTAGCCGCATCGCTGCCTCAGGAAGTCCTCCCTGATCACCCCATCACAGGCTCGGCACAGCAGGTGCTCAGAGCATGGTTGTCAAGTGAAGGGAGGCTCTGCCTTTCCCCAAATCTCTGTGTAAGAACTGTGCCACTGGGGTGGGCATGGGGACGTAGCTCAGTGGTAGCGCACTTGCCCAGCCCTGCAAAAAAAAAAAAAAAAAAA